TTACCTCACTCAAGATGATTCTTTTGTAGTTCCATCCATTTGCCTGCAAATTTCCTGACATCATTGTCTTTAACAACTGAATAATACTCCGTTGTGTAAATGCACCACACTTTCTTTATCCATTCTTCAGTTGAGGGGCATCTAGGTTGTCTCCAGGTTCTGGCTATTATGAATAATGCTGCTATGAACACAGCTGAGCAAATGTCCTTGTGGTGTGAGTGTGCATCCTTTGGGTGTATGCCCAAGAGTGGTATAACTGGGTCTTGGGGTAGATCAATTTCCAATTTTCTGAGAAATTGCCATATTGATTTCCAAAGTAGCTGTACAAGTTTGCACTTCCACTAGCAATGGAGGTGTTTTTCTTGTTCCTCTCCAGCATAAGCTGTCATTTGTGTTTTTGATCTTAGCCTAAATTCTAACAGGTGTAAGATGGAATCTCAGATGTATTTCCCTGATGGCTAAGGATGTTTAACACTTTTTAAAAGTATTTTTCAGCCATTTGAGAGTTCTCTGCTGAGAATTCTGTTTAGATCTGTACCTCATTTTAAAATTGGATTATTTGGGATTTTTTTATTTCTAGTTTCTTAATATTTTGGATATTAGCACTGTGTCAGATGTGGAGTTGGTGAAAATCTTTTCCCATTTTGTGGGCTGCTGTTTTGTCTGGTGAATTTCCTTTGCCTTTTAGATGCTTTTCAGTTTCATGAGGTCCCATTTATTAATTGTTGATCTTGTGTTCTGTTCAGGAAGTTGTCTCCTATGCTAATGTGTTCGAGGCTATTCCCACTTTCTCTTCTATCAGGCTCAATGTATCTGGCTTTATGTTGATGTCTTTGATCCACTTGGACTTGAGTTTCGTGCAGGGTGGTAGATACGGATCTATTTGCAGTCCTCTCTGTGCTGCCGTCCAGTCAGACCAGCACCATTTGAAGCTTTCTTTTTTTTTTTTCATTGTATAATTTTAGCTTCCTTTGTCAAAATTCAGGTGTCCATAGGTATATGGATTTATGTCTGGGTCTTCAGTTGAATTCCATTGATTCACCTGTTTCCTTTTATGCCAATGCCTTGTGGTAAAGGCAGGCTCGTGTGTGTCTCAGGCTTGCCTTAAAAACTCTTAGTAGCTCTTTTAACATCTTTTAAAAAAATGTGTTTGTGTGTGTGTGTGTGTCGATGCATACATGACACAGACACACACAGAGGTCATAGCACACTTACAGGAAGGAGTTGGCTCTTTCTGTCCACCACGCAGGTTCCAGGGATTGAACTCAGGTTCAGGTTGAGCTTATGGGGCACTTTTCCCTGCTCAGCTGGCTCACTGTTCCCACCTTTCTTGGGGGGGGGGGGACACAAAACAACAGCAACATTGAAAAACCAGTTTAACCCTGTCAGGTTGCCCCACTTTTCAGAAAGGTCTGGGCAAGATGTCGCTGATCTTCTGGTATGCGCAGCTTGTCATGGGGGGCTTGAGGAGGGCACAGCAGGAAAAGAGATGGGAAATGGGACAGACAGGCCTCAGAAGCACAGCAGATAGCACTGGTTTGTTATAGTTGTGCAGCACGGACTGGGACCGCAGATGTGCACCGCACCCCTGGCTTTACCCGGGGGCAGATTTGAGAAATTGAGCATGTGTAGTCTCAGTAGAGCCAGCCCTGTTAGCATCATTGGCTACATCCAGCTTCCAGCCTTTCTGTCCTAGAAGGTGAGTATGAACGCACACAGTAGGACTTACTCCTTTGGGCTAGTCTCTGAATTACACCATTTGCACTAAATTCATCTTGGGGTGTTCTAACCCTAGTTAGTTCCCTCAGATCCCTTTATATTCAGTTCTCACCTAATTCCACACAGAGGCCTCCCTGTGGCGTCCTTCCCTTGAGTTTCCTTAAGTTTTGTCTGCTTATTCACCACGAAGCTGTAGACAGGTAACTTGTGCCTGAAAACTTGGCTCCTCGATTTTGCCAGACACTGGGCAAAATACTTTGGTCCTCAAAGGGAGGAAGAAGCCAGAGTGCAATTACAGATATGGAAACAAGCATTTCCGTAGTAACTGCCACCAGGTCCCAAGAGCTGTCTTCCCATATTTAGTTAACCCGAAGTTCTTTGACCTAAATTCCCTCTCGTGAAATTATAGGATCAGCAGGCATGCGGATGGAGTGCGCCGCTTGTTTGTGTTCTAAGAAACATGGTCCTTAATGTTAAGGAGTGGAAATGGCATGGAGATTCTGCTGCGGGAATTGACCTTAATTCCCTTTGGTGAACTTTCATGTCGTGTTTCATGGCAAATGTCACATCATTGAACAGCTGGACCTTTAAGGTATCTTTCTTCTCCTTGTGGGTGCTGAGAAGCTCAACCTGGAGATTTTGAAGAACTAAAGGTTTTTTTTTTTTCCATCCCTAGATTTGACACAGTATCTTGTATCTTGTAAGAGTAACATCATCTCTCTGAATCCCAGGGCCGCGTGGATGGTGCCACCCAGGCCAGGGGCTGGCGCTTGCCAGTCAGCCCTCCCTCACTTAGCTGCCATGCTCCGTTCCTTAAAGTAAGCTGTTCCTTCTTTGAATTATTTTTCTGAGCTGTGAACCCCATGTAGGGAAAGGAAGAGAGGTGCCAAAGTACATTCTAGTTTGGAAAAGTTAGCCCCTGTGATTGCAGACAAGTTCAGAGCTCAGCGTGGCTACAAACAAGGGAAACAGAAGTGAGTCGGGACTTGCAGTGGCTGCAGCATCCCCAGTGCTGTTTAGCCATGCATGCTTGCTGGCTCCCTCAGATATCCTGCCGGCTGTGAAGCAGGCACAGGGAGTTACTGCAGAAGGTGACAGCTGGACCTTGGTCTCTGCTTGATTAAATTTGAAGCCTGAAACTGACTCCTTTGCCGGGACAGGGAATGGAATGAAATTTCACTCCTCTCTGACGGAAACTTCTGAAGGAAAGATTTGGCAGCGTAAGAGAGCTGTACACATGCTTCCAGCTTGCTTGCAACCTCCTTCCAGTCTAGACGGAGGGGAGCTGCCCTGGGCCTCCGGCGTGTATCCCAAGGGTTAACTGAGTCTTTGGGGCTTCGAAAATGGCTGTTTATAACCTCCAGACCTGGAGTCTATCGAGGTGAATAAAGAAAGGGGCGGCTCTGTGTGCTTTGCTTCCCCCAGTTTGGCTTTAAGACCCCATGAGGGATGGAATCTCACCCGCCTGGTATTTGTGAGGACACAGGGTTATGACAGATTCCTTGCTCGGCTTTCTGACGGATCCCTGGGGAAGTTGCCATTCCCTACCTGCGCCAGTCTCTGGAGTGTTGCTCTTTCCTGTGGGTGTAGAAGCTGCTGTTTCAAGCCGTGGCATGTGCGCAGCCCACTACTGGTCGTACCACCTCCAAACCACAGGGACCTCAGCAGTGACCTCATCTTAGGGTACCCCCGAGGAGTATGAGGCTGGGGGATTATCCCTCAGTTCCTCGTTTCCAAAATGGAGTCAGTTCCAAAATGTACATGCCTTTATAGGTACTAAATAACTTTTCAAGGCTATCCTGTTAAAATATTTGAAAGGTTTTCTACTAAAATGAGGGAAATATGTTCCCCTCAAAAATAGATTTTACAAAAATTAGATAATGACTGGTAAGGCGGCTCCTTGTTGCCAAGCCTTACAGTCAGGCCATCCCTTAGTCCCACGTGGAGGAAGGAGAAAACTAGCTCCCGTGAGTTGTCCCCACCCCCCCCCACACACACACGATGTTTCAGACTACAGCAGTGAGAATCTTTCTGACGCACAGACAGATTTAAAGACAAGAGGAGGTCCTAGGAATAGGTGTCCTGGTGGGCACGGGACCTCGTGCCTCACATCCACCCGTACTCAAGTGCACACAGAAGGAAGCTGCACTGGAGCAGGCCTGTGAGGCAGGCTCAGCAGGCCTGAGGCAGGCGAGGCTGTTGAGCATGTGGGGCATCTTTGGGCCTCGCCCACAGTAGCTGTGCTTTGCTGATAGGAGCCATTAGCTCTGGGAACTTGGGAGTGAGCCAGCAAGTCCTGTGTGTCAGGACACTCATTCCCTGATAACACTGAAGGTCATTTGTCTTCTAGACTGTCCAAAGCCAGTTAATCCTATTGAAAAATAAAACTGTTTCTTGCCCTGCTAGATAGAAAATGTGAAGCTCTTTATTGTTGCTGTGGAAAAAAAGAAAAAAGAAAAAAAAAGAAAATCACATAACACAACCGTTACCTTAACCGTTGGGGTGCAGGGTTAACCAAACCAAAGTCTTGCAACATGTCAAGCAAAGATTACCACTAAGCTGCATTACTGGCCCCAATTCAGCATGATGAAACAGACCTCTAGAACTTCTTTTTTAGAGAGAGAGGAAGAGAAGGAGAGAGAGAGTGTGTGATCTCTGTGTTTCTGTCTGCATCTCTGTGTGTGTGTGTGTGTGTGTGTGTGTGTGTGTGTGTGTGTGCGCGCGCGCACGCGCGCGCACCGTAGCATAGAATGGAAGTCAGAGGACCGTCTTTGGAAGTCAACTCTCCTTCTATCATGTGGGTGCTAGAGATGGAACTCAGATCGTCAGGGTTGGCAGCAGCCACCTTGACCTACTGAACCATCTTGCTGGCCCTCCAGAGCCTTTCAGTGTGCAAAACTGAAATGCCATGCCTGTTGGTGCATTGCCTCTTCACCCCCTCAGCCCGTGGTCCCCAACATCTAGCTTCTGTAAACCTGACCACTTCACACACTGCAGGTAAGTGCAGTCTTCTTAGTGCCGTCTTCATGTGACTGGTTTGTCTCACGGGCATAATGAAATCAATACCCTTGTGGAGTTTCTATTCTTGTCATGTGATAGGGCCTCCTGGTTCCGTCCTGTTCCTGAGCTAAAGCTAACCCTAAAAGGCAAATGCTCTATATTAGCAGATGGCAATCAACACGGGAGTGGCTCCAGGCATCACAGGGCTGAGTGTCTGTCTACACAGTGTTATTTCTAATGTTGCCGAGGTTCTAAAGCCCATGTTGGTCATCCCCTTTCAGAGAGCTCAGAGATACGCCCAGCAAGTCTTACAGAAGGAATGCCGGCCCAGGTTCGCGAAGAAAGCCATGGCTCAGTTATTTGAGCACAGGTACAGCATGAACTTGGAGCCCTTTGTGCAGAAGGTTCCCGGGGCCAGTGAAGCCGAGCTCAAGTATGACCCTCCTTTTGGATTCCGGAAGTTCTCCAGTAAAATCCAGAGCCTCTTGGATTTGCTGCCTGAGCGTGACTTTCCTGAACACTTGAGAGCCAAGCACTGCCAGCGCTGCGTGGTTATTGGAAACGGGGGCATCCTCCATGGACTAGAGCTGGGCCATGCCCTCAACCAGTTCGATGTAGTGATAAGGTATCTGCACTCAAAACCAGCTTTATCTAGAATTTAGGCTCGTACTCTGGGCCAGTGCAGCTCTGGGGACAGAGAGGAACCCTGGAAGCTCTTTCAGCATCTCTGTTTCAACTCCTGTGTTTTGGAAACAGAGCCACAAGTGGCCAGGTGTCCCAAACTATTTATTGGTTATACTAGATTCAAGAAGTATGCTGTGGGCTGAAGTCACTTGCTAAGCCTTTCAGAAGAGGGGCGTTTGGAAGGATGGGAGGGCTTGGTAAACAGTGTGTTAGCTAGGGAGGGTGTTAGCTACAGGATGGTGCAGGACAGGAGGATGATGAGGGATGCCTGGCTTGGGATAGCGAGCCCTAGGAGACAGTGCTGGCTAGGGTAGAAGGCCCCTCGGGTAGTTAGAACTCAACACAAGCAGTAGACAGCTGTTCTAGAGCTCTCTGACTTCACCTAACTCTTTAAAGGGGATTTTTTTTCATTGGCTTATTTGTTTGGTTTTTGGTCTTTTGAGACACGGTTTCTCTAGATAGCTCTGACTGTCCTGGAACTCACTATGTGGACCAGGCAGGCATGGAGCTCCCCAGAGCCGGGATTAAGGTGTGCATGGAGCTCCCCAGAGCCGGGATTAAGGTGTGCTCCACCACACTGTGCTTAAGTTCTTCCCCTAGGTTAGGGGTGTGACGGAATGGTAGAATACTTGCTTCCAATACTCGAGGCTCTGTATCAGTGACAGTGAGGAAAGAAAGGCTTTCCAGGGATAGATGTGAAGCACGCATTAGCAGAGAGAGAATGGCACTGCCCGTAGCCCGCGCGGCCCTGGTTTGCTGTGCTGCTGCTCACTGTGGCTCCGGGCATGTGCTTGTCTGTCTTCCTCCTGAAAGATTGATTTTGTTTATCTGTGAGTGTGTATGTGAACATGCACACATGTGCCCGTGGAGGCCAGAAGAGGACATCAGAAGTTATAGGCTCTTGTGATGTGAGCCACCCAGGATGAGTGCTTGGACTAAACTTGGTCCTCTGGGAGAACAGCAAGTCCTCTTAACCACTGGGCCATCTCTCCAGCCCTGCTTTACAAAGTAGTTTAGCCTTATACTTATGATTAGTCTCTAAAGTCATTAATATCTTAGAACTCCTTTAGAAGAAGATAAATTATTGGGTGACTCTCTTCCAGACATTAGAATGTTCTCATCTTTTTACTTTTCATTATGAAATTGCTTTGTATTTTTTTTTATCCACATGTCTTTTTATCCAGCTCTGATTAGTTCCTTGGACAAGTTTTTTAGAATAGAATCGTTGTCTCCAAAGCCTGCGTCTGTTTTTCCAACCATTAGTACACTGCATAAATTAACCACAGGAGCTGGGTCCTAGTTCAGTCTGGGCGGATTGAAGACAAGAGAATGGGGACAGAGCCTGGGGGAAGGTGTGACTGACACCCATGGTTGGGGGTTACACACAGAAAGGGGGAGCAGTGACAGAGGGCTGAATCTGAGCGACATACTGAGAAGTCACTCAGATTGGCAGCCCCTTTTAATGGTTTGAAAAATAATGTCAAATAATACCAAGATTTTGACTCCAAGCGCTTTTGGCCTTAGAAACTGCTGTTAGACACCCGGAAGTGGAAGGAACAGGTTAGTGAGGGACATAATAAAATCCACTCCAGACATTTTGACCTCCAAGTGATGATGCTCACATGGGACCTTTGTGATTTGGACCAGCCACTCCGTGATGCCTCAGTTTCCTCATCTGTACCCTAGAAGCAGTGAGGTTCATCCACAGTGGAGACAGTGTGCTAAGAGCAGTGAACAACGGGGTTATGTTCAGTGCTCAGTAAATGCCACAGCTACTTCAGGAGAGCGCATAGGAAGCCGAGGACTGCAGCAAGGTGCAGTCGGTGAATGATTACATGTTCAAAGGGGCAAGGAAAAGAAAGTAGGAGGACACAGAAGAGAGCCGCAGACCGCAGAGAGCAGGAGCAGAACGGGCTAGGCTTGTGGGGGTCAGTGGCTGTGACGGCTGCCGTACACTCGTGCTTTCTTCTCAGAGTAACCCCAGTGGGTGGTGGTGTCACTCCTAGCAGGTGCCATGAAAGACACAAAGGTGCCGGTCCTTAACTGCTTAAATACAAGCTCTGGAGGCTCCAGCCCCTTGCACCTGGTCCCACTGAGCCGATCAATGAACACCTGTGTGCAAGTAGTGTACAGAGCAGGGCCAGGAGCCCCCACTTGTCCGGCAGGGCAGGGCTAGGCTGTGGGAAAGCTGGCGGGGGAGGGGGGACCAGTGTTGGCAGTGCAGACCTTCAGTTCCGGGGCAGAGGTGGCTAGAGAAGGCTGCACCTCAGGCTGACTCTGAAGGATAGCAATGTGTGTCTACTCAGAAAGGAATCAGGTGGGGACGGCTGAACGAGGAGCCCTGCCTGGTGTGAGGAGGGGGCTGATAGCTGGGAGGGGTCAGAAAAGAGGCTTGATGCCCTGGGGTGGCAGGCCTGGGGCATGAGGACTTCAAGGGTTCCTTGCACATAGAGGCTCCAGTGTGCCAGGGACAGTGAAGGGTGCTTGGAGCCCTTTTAGAAAGACAAAGATTGGCTAAGAAGCATTTTTATTCTCATAAGTTTGTGGGAATAGTACAAATCATTTCATTTACCTTCTCCCAAATTCCCTGGTTGACCACATACTTTCCATTTACTTACTTTCCCTGAATCTATACAGATGCCCTTGGCTTTTGAGGCTTCCCTCTGTATGCCCAGCGTACTTTTCCATCGGGACTGCATTAAAGGGCAAGGGAGACAGCTCAGTGCGTGAGGCTCTTGCTGCAGGACTGGAGCTCAGGTCTCCTGAGTAAACGCCAGGCATGACAGCCAGCCTGTTGATGCCATGCTCCATAAGTCCAGGCTCAGAAGGCAGAGGCAGGCTGGCTACCTAGACTAGCCATCCTGGTGAACTTTGGCTTCAATAGAGAGACCTTGTTTCAAGCGATAAGTTGGAGAGCATTTGAGGAAGACTCCCCATGCCCACCCACTCATGCATGAAAGGGGAGGGAAGAAGGGGAGGCACTAACTCCACCTAACCTGCTAGACATCTGAGCTTAGTGTAGACTGACAGTCTCTTCCCCTCAGAATGGGGTTTCTGTCAGATGCACACTGCTTTGGGCCATCATAAAATTGGAAGATCTTAAGTTGAGCTGTTAAAGATTGATACCGTCTGTACTGTTCCTCCCTCCTGACCCTGTTGCAATAGCAAGCCCTAAGAACTTGAGTATACTTTTTCTGAGAACAGAGACATGATTACTCAGACTCAGAAAGTTAGCATAATGCAGTTAATAAGTTGTATCCATATATTAGTACCTACAGACCTAATCTGCAGACTTTATATATATCAGCGGTGCCTTTCCTTTTCAAAACAGAAGAAGGAAAACAGTCTGGCCCAGTGGCGTGCTCTGGCATTTAACTGTCCTGTCCAGTAGCCAGTTTTAATGACCAAGGGATTGGGTGTTAAAGGTCAGGAAGGGGAAGTAGCTTGAGATAGCAAGGTTAGACACAACTATGTGGCTGACATTTTTATGCGATTTCAGAAGACCATTAACTAGCCGGGCACAGTGGTAGCTCTGTAACCCCAAGTACTCAGGAGACTTTGGGATTCTGGCAAGAACTCTTAATTATCTGAGCAAATAGGAGACTTTCAAAGAAAGTAATATCCAGGAAAGCCCCAAATGTTATGTTTGGATTAGCTTAAAATACCAGGACATGATAGAACTGCCTAGGTTGACAGTCTCGGGTTATGTCCTGGTGCTCCAGCATGGGTTTGAGGCCGTGTTCAGCCAGCGCCCTACAGGGCAGCGATGTGCAGACCGCTGGGGTCACTGGGAGGGACGCCTACTCCAACAATGTCCTGATTCATGAAGGCCGTGGCATAGGATGCTGGGATGTCACACAGTGTGACAAGATGATTAATGACTTCCTTTGTCAATTGTTCCTCTTTGTTTGACTAGGTTAAACAGTGCACCAATTGAGGGTTATTCTGAACACGTTGGAAACAAAACCACCATAAGGATGACCTACCCAGAGGGCGCCCCACTGTCAGAGGTGGAGTACTACGCCAATGACTTGTTTGTTACCGTTTTATTCAAGAGTGTTGATTTCAAGTGGCTTCAAGCAATGATAAAAAATGAAACCCTGGTAAGCCCTCAGAATTCTTCTGGAAATCCAGCATTGGTAAAAATTAGGGCATCTTCGAAAATATGGACTTTTATTTTTAAATATTCACAGTAGAATACAAACTTTTGCTTGGTCTTTGAAATGATATTCTCCCTCTTTGTAGAAATCCCTCAGAACTCGCCTGCACATTTGCTTGAGAACCTTATTAATATTAAGACTTGGCACACGGAACTGAAAGTGTAACTCGGTCTGTGGAGTGCTCGCCGAGCATGCACAGGCCTGGGTTCATTCCCTGTTGCCACATAAAACCGGCTGAGGGGCACACACCTATATTCTCAGTACTTGGGAGGTGGCGGCAGGAGGATAAGCCCCAGGCCATCCTCAGCTATGTAGAGTTTGAGGCCAGCCTGGGCTACATGAGACCCCGTCTTAGAAGCAAGCAAATAAATAAGTAAACCAAAACTACAAAGAGAATTGCATGTGAAAATGGTGTTCTCACTAAAAGGCAGCATCAACTTTAAGACCACGCTTCCTATTGTGAGGTTGATTACCTTGTTCTGCAGACATGGACAGAATGACTTTTAGTTCAAGAAGTGAGATTTGCTGGATGAATGTAAACTGTGCTGAAGTTTATACAATAACCATCCCAAAGATGTTCTCCAAAATGCTGCGGGCGGGATCCTCTCATTGGAGTAAATCCAAGGCATCCTCGAGGGCAGCAGAGGAGGCCTCCACTGGCTCAGCTCCCTCTTGCTCGTCTGTCCCATAATCAGTTAATACTGCTTAATTGATTGTACTTAATTGATGTAGTCCCATGCATTAAAGTGAAATAATTTTCAGAGCTCAGTTATCAAGCTGATAATAAATAACTATCTCCAAAACTAACAGGATAGGGTCCACGGAGATGGCTCAGAGGGTAAAGGTGCCTGCCATCATGCCTGGCACCCCAGGTTCAACCCCAGGAGGTGCATGGTAGAGAGAGAGAAGTGATAACCAGAGATCCTCCTCCAGCCTCCATGCATGTGCTATGACACTCCACACACACACACACACACACACACACACGCACACACGTGCATACAATACATGGCTAAATAGACATTCTTTTTAATTTAGTAGGCTGTACTACATGATAGAACAGTTTACATGTCCCGAGCCTGGTTCTCTGTGGATGATTGTGACCTTCTGGATTTTTCTATTGCATAGAATTTCTGATGGGAAAATGAAGTGACCTCTAGTCAGTTGCTAAGCAATTTTATGAGACTAGGAAATAAAGTCAGTGGAAAGTGGGTATGTGGTGAGAACCTATCCAATAAGGCACTCCCCGCACTTACCACCCCTAAGTCGAGCTGACCTTCTCTGGGAACGCTGTAGATTGTAAAAGAGCCCTGGCTCAGGTCATTCTTGGGGAATTTCTTCCTCAAGCAAGCAAGTTGGTTCTGTCATTTCTGTTCAGGTCTGCAGCAGCTTTGTAATTTGCAAGTTTCGGGGTTACATTATTGGGCAGAAGTACTAGATTTCCATGCATTTAGATGACTGTGCTCTAGGGTGCAGGGTACAGGGCCAGCTGGAGCTGTGCTCATGACCTCGGCATCATTAACCTTTTTACCCTCTGCTGACAGGAAAACCTTAGTAAGTATCCTGACGATTGCTTGCATTCTTTCCTTAGCCATTTTGGGTTCGGCTCTTCTTTTGGAAGCAGGTGGCAGAAAAAATCCCACTCCAAGCCAAACACTTCAGGATTTTGAACCCACTTATCATCAAAGAAACTGCCTTTGACATCCTTCAGTACTCGGAGCCTCAGCTGAGATTCTGGGGCCAAGACAAGGTATATTTGTTACGTCTCACTTAACTGTTCTCTGTGTACAAGAGAAAATAGGTTTAAGTTTTGTGCAGGCTCATCTATACCCCTAGAAGCATTTCTAGTAAGGAAACCTACTCATTGACCAGACAGGTCCACGTGTGATTATCGTTCTGCCCCTTGGTGTCAGGTTTTCTCATGGTCGAATTAGCCTTCTTCTAGTGTACTGTAACACACATGTTACTGAAATGTTAAGAAAGGCATCTTGGCCCCAGCACGAAGAGGCACTTCGTTAATCTGAAAGGTTCTGTATATTGTATCTCTGTAAGATACTAAGACTTGGTAGCTACCAATGCTTCACAGATGATGATAAATGAAGACAGCCCTAAGACAGTGCTTTTCAGTCTGGCCCCACACCAGACGTTCAGACTTCACTAGTCAGTGTTGTGATCTGTACATGGGGATATTTTCAAAGTTACCCAGATAATTTGAGAACCTCTGTGTTCTAGGTTTCTATTGGGTAGGTTGTTAACCTGCAGTTAACATGTGCTGCCAGAAGGCGGTGGTGTGGAAAATGATTTTATTGGCGCTTGGCCCATGTCTTTAAAACTTTGAAGCTTGCCTGGTCAACAAAGTGAGTTGCAGGGCAGCCAGGACTACACAGAGAAACTCCATCTTAAAAAAAAAAAAAAAAAAAGCCAGGTGGTGGCGCCACCTTTAATCCCAGAACTTGAGAGGTAGAGGCAGGTGGATCTCTGTGAGTTCGAGGCCAGCCTGGTCTACAAGAGCTAGTTCCAGGACAGGCTCTAAAAGCTACAGAGAAACCCTGTCTCAAAAACAAAACAACAACAACACTAAATACTTATAAAATTATAGTACATGTATAAGACATGCATGGAATACAAAAGAGTATCAGTACATGTGGGTCCAAGTCCCAAGATGCCTTGCTGTGTATGAACAAGTACTCTGGAAATACCTCAAACATTTCTGGGCTCACACAACACAGATATGGGAAATGGCCTGCAATTGGACCAGCAACAGCCCTCAGGACTGTTAGCCACAAGCTCTCTGGGCTTGTCTTATGGTGTTATTTTTACCCAAAACTTGAGTGAAGATCCAGAAAGCTTGTGCCAGGCTTGCACATCCCAGGAGGCATGGCAGGATTCTAGGCAGACAGAGGGTGTGCCAGCAGTGAGAAGCTAAAATGGGATGAGCCTTGGGCCTGCTGAGCCAAAGTTAGTTGAATCTATTTTGAAAGGAGTAAATGTAGCCGGGCAGAGTGACACATGGACTCCAGCACTCCACAGGCTGAAGTAGGAGGTCGTGGTGTAGAAGCCAGCGTGGGTTACATGGCAAGACCCTATCTTAAACAACAACAACCAGACGGATGAGCGTGATGACGCCTGCTGCAGAACAGGAGTTCAGTCCTGGGCCCACAGGGAGAAGAAGAGAACCAACTCCTGAAAGTTGTCCTCTGACCTCCAGGCATGCACAGAGACATGCCTGTCCAAGTGCTCATGTGTGTGTGCGCGCACACATTTATACATCTTAAAAATATAAAAAGATAGTTGAGTTAGTTAATTACAGTTTAAAAATCAAGGAAGAATAAATGTCCTTAATTCAGGTCTGGCTTATTTGCTATGAATATAAAAATGGTCTAGGAACAGCAAATTGTAACATTAGTGGGACACTAGCAGCAACTAGGTATGTGGGAGAAATGAGAATTTAATAAGGAAGAATGTGCCCCACAGGAGGGATGGGATCCACAAACCATGCCCTGGGAAGGACCATAGCAGGTCCTTTCTGAAGTAGACCTGATAGATCCTTACAGCATATATACAAATAACACACAGACCCAGCAGGTTATATTTAGGAATATGTGTGTGTGTATGTATATATGTATGTATTATGCATGCATGCATGCAGTAACAACTAGTGAAAAAAGAGGCCGTGACTTTGCAGGAGAGCAGGGAAGAATATGTGGGAGATTTGGAGGGAAGAAAGAGAAGGGGGAAATGTAATTATGTTATAATTTCAAAAATTTAAAAATAGCCAGTGTAGTAGTGCACACCTTTAAGCCCAGCACTTGGTGAGCAGAGGCAGGTAGATCTCTGTGAGTTCCAGGACAACCAGAGAGCTACATAATGAAACTCTGTCTGAAAACAAATAAAAATTAAAAATAAGTTAAAGTATTATTTTTTAAAATGAATAAATGGAATAAATTGTTCTGTGTTCTTTTCAGAACATCCCCACCATCGGTGTCATTGCCATCGTCTTAGCCACACATCTGTGTGATGAGGTCAGCTTGGCAGGTTTTGGATATGACCTCAGTCGGCCCAGGATTCCTCTGCATTACTTCGACAGTCAGTGCATGGGCGCCATGAACTTTCAAGCCATGCACAATGTGACCACAGAGACCAAGTTCCTCCTGAAGTTGATCAAGGAGGGTGTAGTGAAGGACCTCAGTGGGGGCATCCATCGTGAATTTTGAGCACAACAAACCTCAATTGGAAATGCAGCTGGGACAGGTGGTGAAGCCTCCACTTCCACTCACCCTGCGGCTGCTTGACTGGCAGCTGCTGTTTTTAAACTTTTCATTAAAAAAGAAAAGAAAAAAAAAAAGCACCAACAAAGTTTAGCTCTTCCCACATCTTTGCCCTATTTATTTGAAGTCAGTGTTGGGTTTGCACATTTTTATAAGTTAATTTTAAGAATGGGATTGGAAAGACTTTTCAAAGAGAATGATATCAAATGATTCTTTATTGTATTATAAGGAATAATTTAACTTGCAAACACTGTACGCATGTCTTCTGCACAGTGGGCAGCAAGTCATGAGGTGGGAGCAAAGGGCTCTCTGGCCCTTTGATGACGGCCATGGTGCCTGATTCTGGATTCTGCTGCTCTGTTTGGAGGAACTGATGGCAGAGACACTTCCTACTTCTTGGATGAAGGGCTTACTCATGACCACTGGCAGCTGCAGGAGGTCGGGACCACTGGACAAGTTCATAACCCCTTTCTGCCAGTTCATCTTAGACTCACCAGCAATCAGCCAGAGCACCTGGCCTGGAGGTTGCTGGCTGGTGAGACACTGTTTGCTGAGTCCTGTGAAGTTGCCTCAGACTGGAGAAGCCATGTCTCTCCACACCATCAGGATACTTTTAAACTTCTAGAGAATTTTTTTTCTGTCCTTCCAAAGCACTTATGTGTTATTTAAGATACTGCTGTTTGTCTGAGGTGGTACATCGAAATTATGACAGTGCCTCAGTTATCCAGAGCCATGGGGGATGAACCTTTCCAGGGATGATCACATTGCTGAAGCACTGGAGTGAGATCCTCCCATTGCTACAACTTGTTTATTTGAAAGAAAGAAGAAAAAGAAAGAAAGAAAAAAAAAGAAGGAAAGAAAGAGGGAGAAAAGATTTTCCAATGCCTGACAGTGTATACCAAACACTGTCAAAGAAAGAAAGAAAGAAAGAAAAAAGAATAAAAGCTTTGCAGAGCCCCCTGTGATCTAGTTACTTTGACTGTTTGTTTCTTCATTTGTTCATTTTAGGAAAATCTCTTTTCTCTGCTTGCCTGTTAGTGGCCTGGTGTCAGAAGATGTGGGCAGCTGTTCTACATTTTGTCTCTAGTCTTTCCCTGCCCATGCTCCCTGGCCTCTCCCTCAGTTCACTCCACTGCCCTGCAGCCCCAGGGAAACCTGTCCCCAGCGCATTCTAACACCTGTCCTGTCTCCCTTCTCAGTGTTGGGAAAGGGGACAAGCCATATCAACACAAAACCCATCTCTAGGGCTGTAGGCTACAGCTCAGAGGGACTGCAGAGCAAAAAGTGTAGTATTTCTCTTTTTTTTTTTTTTTTTTGTCTCTTTGGGCTTCTACTTTGGAAGATATAATTTGCTGATGTGGGATTCCCCTCTGTATGCTGTGAATATGTTTTACTAGCATTGGTTAATAAAAGAAGCTGTTTTGGCCTATAGCATGGCAGAATATAGTCAGGCTGGAAAAGATAGAATAGGCAGAGTCAAGAAGACACCATATAGCTGCTGAAGGAGACAGAGGCCCCAGAACCTTACTGGTAAGCCACTATCCTCATGGTAAAATAATAGGAATGGGTTAATTTAAGATGTAAGAGTTAGTTAACAAAATGCCTGAGCTAATAGGCCAAACAGTGTTGCAGTTCATATAGTTTCCTTGTGATTATTTCAGGTCTGGGTGGCCAGGAAATAAATGGATGGTCTCCTACTATAATTTGCTTATATCAGTGTTTCTAAACTTCTAATTCTATAACTTATTAGAAAACATTCTAGCTTGAATACCACACAGCCCCACCCTATCTATTGAGGAATGCTGGGGAGAACAGGCTCACGGGATTGAGGGAGCTGGGAACCAGCCACACACTGCTTCACACCACCTGACTCAAGTCTTCACAATCCAAGAGACTATGCGACTCCTCTATCCCCTTTTAAGAGATCATGTTCACAGGCAAGAAGCCATGCCTTTAAGCAGGTACCCCAAAGCTACTGGCAGAATAAATCCCCTTTTGGTCTAAATAAGAAGGTTCTAGGGGGCTGGAGAGATGGCTCAGTGGTTAAGAGCATTGCCTGCTCTTCCAAAGGTCCTGAGTTCAATTCCCGGCAACCACATGGTGGCTCACAACCATCTGGAATGAGGTCTGGTGCCCTCTTCTGGCCTGCAGACATACACACAGACAGAATATTGTATACATAATAAATAAATAAATATTTAAAAAAAAAGAAGGTTCTATTCCTATACAAAACTATATACAATAGTCAGTAGAACAATCGTCAAGTATTGTCCAGGAGAAAGAGTAATAACATATATATAAATAGAACTACAACCAACAAGAATAACATCAAGAAAAAAACACATACTAAATGCCCAGGCAATAGGTAATAGGCAAATACCAGAGATTATTCTAATAGCTATCTTATTCTGAAGGTCTAAATCTTGTACCTAATATGCCTTAGCTAAAGTACGAGAGGATAGTAACTTATCATCTAGTCTTCAACCCCATCAACTCAAGAAGGAAAATAATATTACCTGAGTAATTATAAGCACAGCAAGCAAATGACTTCCAAACAATGCAAGAAATGACAGAAACAGCTGGCTACCTGGACAGTCACCCAACATTGGGTCAACCAAGTTTGGCTGTAGACCTAGAATATCTGACAGACCATTTTCAGAATCAGGAAAAATTCAAAAGACTGTCCCACCCTGTCTTGGCAAGGTTCAGCAGCCTCTTCTTTGAATCCTGCTGTCTAAATTGGACAGTATGCTTACTATCAGCAGTTTAGGTAAGGGAGTTCTTTGCCTGATAGGCCAGTTTTGCCAAGAAGAAAACTAGCTCCATATGGAGTGTCTGCAGTGGCCATCATTCTCTTTGGGAGTAGATTGGTACTGCCAGGAGCAGTCATGTCTCACAACAACAGAATTCTAAATTATTAAAGCATTTCAATGTGATATTCTGTAGGTCTTTAAAGTGTTTGAAGACTACCTATCGATGCAGAGTATATCCTTGTGCATCTGAAGAACCTGACTAACATAAGTATGACAAACATGAGTGAATATTAACCTGTCATTCTTTTTTGTTTTGTGTTGTTTTTGAGACAGGGTTTCTCTCTAGCTTTGGGGCCTTTCCTGGAACTAGCTCTTGTAGACCAGGCTGACCTTGAGCTCACAGAGATCCACCAGTCTCCCTTCAAAGTTCTGGGATTAAAGATGTGCACCACCACCACCTGGCTTTAACCTGTAATTCTTAATGACCATATAGCTTAAAGACTAAGGCTTCATATTATAAAAATAAACAACCTTTAAACATATGTGCAGCATGAGAACAATGACCTTGAAATTGTAACATTGTATACAATATTTTTATCAGAGGTAGAAATGTACATGACAAAAATATCCTTAATTTGTATCAATATACAGAATATCATAAGCAGAAGCAGAAATATACATACAGTATGACAAGGATAATTTTACACTTATGTACAAAACATTGTAAACAGAAATAGAAACTTACATAATATAAGTATGATTTTGAATTTGTATCAGTATACAAATTATCTTAGAAATTCAAAAAATAATTTTACATGAATCAATATAAAAGAATCTATACCAATGTAAATTGTCTAAAACTAATAGTTGCTAAAAATAGTTTACAAGTAGTATACTAATCTACCTTATTATTCAATCCTATTCTACCTATTCCCTTTTTTTCTTATCCAAAAGAGAATCCTGAGTCTAAACTTCATTGTTCCACCCGCAACCCTATCGCAACATATAATCAGTTCCCAACAAATGACAATTATCCATAACCCTGAGAAAACAAAATATGTTTGCTGTGGGATAATGCTTTTGTACCCTGTAAAGATTTCTCACTCATATTGGTTTAATAAAACTTTGATTGGCCAGTAGCCAGGCAGGAAGTATAGGAGAGCAACCAGACTAGGAGAATTCTGGGAAGAAGAAAGGCAGAGAGTCATTCACCAGCCAAATGCAGAGGAAGCAAGAAGAGAATATCTTACTAAGAAGATACCAAGCCACATGATTAAATATAGACAAGAATTATGGGTTAATTTAAGTTATAAGAGATAGTTGATAATAAACCTGAGCTAATAGGCCAGATAGTTTATAGTTACTATGAGCCTCTGTGTATTTATTTGAGACTGAATAGCTACAGGACTGGGCAGGACAGAAACTTCTGACATCTGTTGGGAGAGGGGTTGTCGTTTCCTTAGAATTGCTTCCTGCTGTCTAGTGGGCAATTAGTGGGCAATGGTATCTCTGGGATCCTGCTGTAAAAAAAAATGGTTAAGTCTCAAGAGAACTAACTGTAACCTTTGTAATCAGTCTTTGAGAAGTAGGTAAGGCTTATGTGAAGTTCTTATTTGAAGTTCTGGCTAGTATGTTGTTAGAAGGTGGACCATCTCAGCTAGCCATCTTAGAACTGTTGTTAGCAATTTGTAGTCCAAAGCTGTTCTCAGAGTGATGTTTATCGGCTTGATGGCATCATTATAAACCAGGTAGAATCGTTGTAGGGCCCCATCTTCCTTCTGGAGACTTCAGGGATTGCTGCTAGGAAAATTTATTGTCCACTGTGGAAAATTTAAACATTACTAATATTAAAATTAGTTTAAGTTTTAAGATGGTTATTTATTCAAAGAAAGGTACTGAGGAGTCACAGGTAAGCACTGAGAGAAGTAGAATTGTGAGGACACAGCAGAGTTCTGACAACAGACCACCCTACACCAGGGCAGAGGAGCCAGATGTGTGGGCTGCTGAGATGGCTCAGCCGCTAGAGGTTTGAGTTGCTAGGCCTGGACCTGAGTTCAATCCCCAGGATCATATAATGGGACTCCTTTGAAGTCAGGAAATAAAGGGAGACAAACACTGCCTCTCAGCTGTCTTTATTTCTTATGAAGTCCTGGACCTAGGCCATGGAATGGTTCTACCGACAGTAGGGTGGCTCTTCCTACATCAACCCAGTCTAGAAAATCCCCCAGACATGCCCAGGTGTTTGTCTACAGAGTAATTCTAGAGCTAGGCACAATGATAATACCAACCGTGTGT